GGATCAGCTCCCTAAAGGAATCCACTGGCTTGCATTTGCAAGAGCTGAGCACAGATTTTTGAGGACAGGGCATTTTGGAGTGGGCTCATTCATGGGGTCGCCGTAAGTCAGAGAGGACTTGATGGCACATGGCAGCAACACAATGACAGCATATAAAGTAGCGGGGGGGGGGAATCAGGGTCCTCTCTTTTTTCATACTGTGCAAGTACAGTGGGGCCTCGCTAGACAGTCACCCCGCATGACAGTTTTTTCGCTAGACATTGACTTTTTTGCGATCAATATAGCGATTCGCAAAACCGTAATTCCTTTGGGGGAATTTCGCTGGACAATGTTTGGTCCCTGCTTCGCAAAACGATTTTCGCTAGATGACGATTTGCTTTTTGCTAGACAATGATTTCGCTAGACAGCGATTTCAGTGGAACGGATTATCAGCGTCTAGCGAGGCACCACTTGTAGCCACTCAAGCTGAGCCGTCCTGCCTCTTTCAACCCCCTTTTAACCTTGCGGGGGGTGAGAAAGCAAACCAAAGCAAGGGGCTCCAGAGCTAGCAATTCATTCTGCTGGTTTCCCAATCAATAGATGCCCATCTATTCAAAATGTGCCAATGCACGGAGGATCAGATTCAAGGAGGAAGAGGAGGGCCAGGCTCCGGAGCCTGTAAATTAGCATTGCTGATGTCCTCACAAAGGCTTGGCAATCATGCACGGGGATCAGCAAGCCGGTGTAGCCAAACGACTAAACTTTCCATCCCACAAAGGCAGTGTGATGGGAAATAGGCTTAATTTCTGCCGGTCAGGCTATTCCTGTTAAAAGACTCTAGACTAGGCAGGGCTTCTAAAGGCTAGCCCGACTGCATCAGTCCTGGGAACTTGGGTGTCCCTTCGTTCACTTCCTGCGCTGGGAACAAGAGCCGAAACAAACTCGGCTGCCACTAAAATAAAGATATTTCTGGTTTTTTATTTTTGTGAGATGACACCGTTGCTCCTTTCCCACTCTATAGCAAAGTGTACTCAAGACAGCCAAAACTCGCATGGCTGAAACTGTCCACAGAGTAAAGGCATTTACTCTTTACCCAAGAGTAAAGGATTTCACCCAAGCACACGGGGGAGGGGGAAGAACCCTTCAAACAGAGAGGAAGCCCAAGAGATACTGAAATCATGCTTTGAACTGGAGAGAAGACTGTTCTCTGTGGCTGCTCCCAGAGACTCTGGAACTCCCTCCCACTGGAGGCCAGCCTGGCCCCATCTTGGCTGTCCTTCTGCCAGCAGGCAAAGACCTGTCTCTTCAGGCAAGCTTTCCCTCAGGGACTGCCTGACGGGTTTTTTAAATTGATTATTGTGCCTTGTTGCTTTGATTGGGTTTTTAGTACTTGTGTTTACCCTTTCTCCAAGCGGTATTTACGGTATTTATTCCTTTTTAATATTTGTATACTTATTATTCTTAGCTTTCATATAATCTTTTAATGGGGCAAACTTTTTTAAAAAATACTCATTGTTCTCAGCTTTAAATAGTGGTGTAAACTACCGTTGTATACTTGTTGTTTTCAGCTTCAAATACGATGTGAGCCGGCTCGGGTCCTTTTAAAGGAGAAAGGCAGGGTACAAATATTTTAAATAAATAAATAAAATATACGGTGCAGGGTAGGTAGCAAAGGATTTCCAGACCTGGTGCATGTACGGTTTGGGGTGGCGTAAGAGGGAGGTGAGGAATTCCGAAATGTCCATTCATTTGACTTTGGAAGCCCCTTGAACAGGGGGAAATAAATAACTGATAACAAATTATTAATGAATATTTAAGATATTAATCTTCCACGCCTACAGGAGCCCTGTTCTGTGCCTTTACGCCACCCTTTATGTGGAAACTGGGAAACAAAGCAATCTTAGGCAAGCAGGAATTGTGTCTTGGACCATCCATGGACCCCTTATGTGCTGAGCTACTTAAAGGGGCAATTTCCAAGACAATGGTTGTGTGTTTAAGACGTCTCTTCCTGGCCAAAGGAGAAATGAAGAATGTTCTCTGGTCACGAAAGCCCCTCCAGAACCACTTCCTCTTACCCAGACGCCTAGGTTGGTGTGTCTGCAGACCCACGCAACTGCCGAATCAGCAAAAAGCACAAGCCAACAGGGGGGGGGGGGAAACCACCCCAAAGCCTCTGGGCAGAACTGGATCACACAGTGGCTGGGTTTGGCACACCATGCCATGGCTTCCCAACTGAAAAGGACCAGAGGCCAGGCTGGTGCCAAGCCACCGGGAACAAGAGTCCCTGGAGCTGCTCATCCAAGCCACAGAGAAGGGAAATGCCAACCGAGCCAGGTGGAATCAGGGTGCAAAGCCAACAGGGAGCTGGAGGGGGAAAGAGGAAGAGGAGGGAAAATCTTGGCTGAAGTCGCCGGACGTGGCTGGCGGGCATCAACGGTCTTCTTGCTCACCCTAAGTCCGTTTATAGTCCCAGCCCTGGAGGGAGTGAGGCTGCCGACTTAGAATCACAGAATAACAGAGTTGGAAAGGGTCTATATGGCCATCGAGTCCAACCCTCCAAGGCAGGAGTCCAGGTCAAAGTAGATCTGACCGAGGGTTGATTACCTCCAGCCCTGCTCACCACCTCCTGGAGGCCATGGGCTCCATTGTCGTACCGCTCTAACAGTTAAGAAGTTTTTCCTGATCTTCAGCCTCAATCTGGCTTCTTCTAGTTTGAGTGCATGGTTGCGTATCCTGCACTCTTGGGAGGACTGAGAACGGATCCTGCCCTTCCTTTGGATGAATACCTTTCAAGTATTCGAAAAGGGATTTAAGAGCTCCATTGTCGTACCGCTCTAACAGTTAAGAAGTTTTTTCCTGATCTTCAGCCTCAATCTGGCTTCTTCTAGTTTGAGTCCATAGTTGTGCACAGTATCCTGCACTCTTGGGAGGACTGAGAACGGATCCTGCCCTTCCTTTGGATGAATACTTTTCAAGTATTCGAAAAGGGATTTATTTGGCATTTGGGCTCATGGGAGTTTGCACCAGATCTTGGGGGAAAAAAGGTTACTTTTTTGGACCACAACTCCCAGAATTCCCTAGCTAAGATGGCCAGTATGGCCTGGTTCAAAAGTGGGTCCTCCGAAAGCTTGTGGGGGGGGTTCAATTCCCCTCTGGTTGGATGAATACTTTTCAAGTATTCGAAAAGGGATTTATTTGGCATTTGGGCTCATGGGAGTTTGCACCAGATCTTGGGGGAAAAAAGGTTACTTTTTTGGACCACAACTCCCAGAATTCCCTAGCTAAGATGGCCAGTATGGCCTGGTTCAAAAGTGGGTCCTCCGAAAGCTTGTGGGGGGGGTTCAATTCCCCTCTGGGTTGATAAGCCCCACTGGGCCTCCTCGATAAGGGTTGGACTCGATGATCCACAAGGTGGTTTCTACCTCTGCAGTTTTAAGGTTATTATTTAAAGAACTGCTGGGTAGCTCAACGGTTTCAGTCTCTGGCTGCGAGAGCCAGAAGCTGGGAGTTCGAATCCTCACGGTGCCTCCTTGGCAGGGGCTGGACTTGATGATCTCGAGGGTCTCATCCAGCTCTGCTGTTCTAAGGCAAGGTAAAGTATCCTTGATTCTCCCACCATTCCACTTTGGCGACCTATTGCACATCCCCTTGTCGCTGTGTTAGTAAGAAGAATTTCCTCTCCTCGTTCCCCTTCCCCCCAAAAAATATCTCCATGCTGACGATCTACTTGGCCTACATTACAGGGCTGGTTGTCAGGATTGGAAGCCTGATGACCATGAAGCATTTGGGGCACTTGAAAGTATTCGGCGTCACAATGGGGACGGGGGGGCTTAGAGGGATGCACAGAAACATACGGACGCACACACACATACACACTCACTGCCCAATTGGTATTTGGCAACCTTCGCCATGCGCGGGTCTGTTCCCACGCTCGGCGCAAGCCCCCCACCCCACCCCAGGCATCAGGAACCAGCCACCTCCATAGAAATGGGAACAAAGGGAGCTGTGGGTTGGGGACAAGCCGGGCTTTGAGAGAAGGGGGTCAGGAGACAATGAACAAGGGCCATGAGAGGCTGAGGGAAATTGGTGTGGGGTGGGGGCTTTTTTGCCCATGAAGCGAGACTCAATGGAGAGCAAGAACAGGGGTCCCTGGCATCCACCATTCTCCCGGCTTCTCTCCCCAATCCTCAGTCAAAATTCCCTCTTTGCAAGCGAGTGGAACAGGGAGAGACATAAAGAGTCGGGGGGTTTTTTGGCTCAGCCACCGAGATACGGGCAAAGAAACACAAGTATCAGAAACAAAGCTTAAGCACAGCGTGGTTGTCTGCTGGACTCCGTCCCAGAGCTCTTTGCCGCACCACCAGAGGCTGGCCCTCGGCACTTGTTGAAAACGGAGAAAGGGCCTCTGAGTGCGTGCAGACGGCATCACGATCCATCCAGTCTGTGTCGCTGGGACGCACCGAACAGGCAGTGAGGCGTCCCCAAACCTCAGAGCTGAGCTTTTAAGATGGAGGCAGAACAGTTTCCCCCTTTAAAGCTATCAGAGGGAAAGCCGCAAACGGGATCCACCGTTTCAGAAGGAAGAGACACACAGTAAACGGTGGTCTTCCCGTGTCCGGGAAAACCAGGAAGAAACAGGGAAGGGAGAGAGTCCAGAAAGGACCAAATGCGATCCTTTGGAACCAAAACCAAGAAACTAAACCACCAAGAAAACACATAATACAGGGCATGTGGTGAAGGAGCAGATTTGCAAACCCAGCTGCTCCTTATGAGAGTTTCCACCCAACAGGACTTTTGTAAAGTTAGTGGCTCTTAATTGTCCTTTCAAGACACCAGCTTTAGCACCTATCCTTTGCCGCTGGACAGCCTTCGTTTTGTAAAGTTAATGGCTCTTAGTTGCCCTTTCAAGACACCAGCTTTAGCACCCGCCTCATCCTTTGCAGCTGGACAGCCTTCAGGATCATGCCCAGTCCCACAATTTTTCTTAGCAGAGGAGACGAACATCATTTAGCACAGCTCACCTTTCACAGTCAACACGGACGGGGTCCGGGCCAGCGGGTCGGCCAAGGAGTTGAGGGGGGCGCTGTCCTGCAGCCAGATCACCAAGACCGGCTCCGGCGGGCCCTGCGCCCTGCAGGTCAGGTTGAAAGAAGAACCAGCAGGGAGGTCAAGATCCTCCGGCTCCTCGGCGAAAAGGGGCAGACCTGGGTGAACCGGGGTGGAAGCGACAGAATGAGCAAACAAACTCCACTCGCTCTCGTTGGGAGTTGAGGGGAGGCGGCCTCAAAGATCAGAGGCACCTTGAGGGTCTCCATTTCTCGATTTAATTTAAGCCGCAGAATATTTGCAACCAGAAAAAAGGGGGTTTACTGAGCATGCACAAAGTTCAATTCCTCCTTTGCTTAGCATTTGAGCAGATAAATAGGAGAGGTTTTTAAGAGAGAGAAAACAGAGCTGCTTAGATGCATGTTTTCCTCTCGTGAAATGTTTACACTGGGATTAGAGACAGATTTGTGCTGGAGAGGTACCAATAAAACAACGCTCCCTATCTCTGAAATGTAGCAGATGTGGGAAGTTTCACAGAAGCTTTGGGGCTGCTTTAGATACAACCGATATTCAACTGCATTTGTGGATGCTGACCTGTCAATTTCTCCAAAAACTATCCTTTTCCTGCTCCTGGGGATTTTCTTTCCTAAACTGACACACTGGTGGGAGATCCTAGTTTCAAATATTTTCAAAATTTTAAACCAGCCCTCTCTGATTTCAGCAGATCTGCCTTCCTAAGAAGAAAGGTGGGATAAAAATATTTTAAATAATTGAAATAAATAAACATGGGGCAGGATTTACCTGCGGCCCCACATCATCCTCACAGTTCAAGCCCAACCTGACTTCATGCTCTCTAAGGCTTAAACTGGTCTATGGAAAACAGGTGAATAGTAAGTGACTAAGATCGTTAATTAGGTCTTAGATGCTGGCCCTTGGACTTAACTCTATTCTTCGGGTGTAAGTTTTGGGACCTGACATTTCAGGCAGTGGAATGCAGTGAATACTCCTCCTGCAGTCCTGAATTTTGGAATCTGTGCCACTTCGAGCATGCTCAGAAGCACCCTTGTCTTTTTTCATTAACTGGTTTAATTCATGCTACTGTTGATAGCCTTTAAATCAATCCGTTCTCTACCCTGACAAAAACTGGTCCTTTTGCACTTGTTACAAGAAGGTGTATCCTTGTGGCATCGCACAGCCCCTTAAGTCACAAGCTTTGGTCATGACAGAATCCTCCAGTAAAGGGATGTTACCGATCCAGGAACCCGAAATGACATGGCAAGAAATGACAACGAGGAGATCCGGAGTGGAACAGGCAGCACTAGGGGGAAAAAAAACTAAATAGATTTCTTTCTTTAAGTGATTCTTTGAACCTGTATGGTTTTTTTCCAAATGTTTTACCTTTGTGTTTAGAAATAAATCTTATAAAAAAAGAGATGTTTTTAAAAAAGGAAAGTGTGCAGCTATTTACTCCAATCTAAATCCTTTCCTTAGCCTTCAACCTTCTTTGCTAGAGGACTACAGGGCACCCCACCTGATAATGGATGGGTGGCATATAAGTGTAATAAATAAATAAACAGTAGTGTGAAGATCAAAGGGATGTGGTGGCCTTGTGGGCTAAACCGCAGAAGCCTCTGTGCTGCAGGGTCAGAAGACCAGCAGTCGTAAGATCGAATCCACGCAACGGAGGGACCTCCTGTCACTTTGTCCCAGCTCCTTGTCAACCAAGCAGTTCGAAAGCATGCAAATGCGAGTAGATAAATAGGTACCACCTCGGTGGGAAGGTAAAACGGCGTTCCCTAGTCATGCTGGCCACGTGGCAACAGAAACTGTCTTCGGACAAGCGCTGGCTCTACGGCTTGAAAACGGGATGAGCGCCGCCCCCTAAAGTCGGACACGACTGGACTGAAAATGTCAAGGGGAACCTTTACCTTTTTAATGTGAAGATCACACACACATTCAGACATACATACACACACACTATGTTTACCTTCTAATTGCAAGTAGGCCTCCTCGGAGAAAATTTCCGATCCGTTCATCCAGGTCACGCACTGGTAGCTTCCCATATCGGAGAGCTTTACCGAAGGGATGCTGTCGGGATGACAAGGCGGGTGGATGAGGAAGAAAGAACGAGATTTATAGATTGTTAATCTGAGTTTTTCTGCTTTCGATGTTTGCCCCTCAGCCGGGACAAGAACTACCCTCTGGGCTCCTAAGGTGATTCTTTCATGAGTTTGTTGTAAGACTCGGAGCCGGCTCTGCCATGAGGTAGCGTGGAGCAAGTCCCCTTATGCAGCAGGTGCCGGACGTTGGCACCAGGGTGTGGGGAGAAAGAGAGAGAGAGTTGAAACTGTCTTTTGCTCCTAATAAGGGCACTGGCGCCTTCACGCATGGTGGAAGTTGCTCCCCCAGTACTCAGAGATGACTCGATGGCTAGCCCAGTCGGGTTGGAATAAGGAAGGCCCCTATTTTATTTTTTGCATCAGGTGGCCAAATGGTTTTTTTTGGGGGGGGGCTGGAAGCACGGAGGCATTGCTATGAATGTCAGAAGGAGGCACAAAGTAATGGCTGTTTATTCAGGCCTTCCCTCCAGCCAACTCTTGATTTTTTCTTACTTTTCCTTTTTATTTTTACTGCTGTTCTTGTTTGATTATTATGTATTTGTCTATGTTTTATTATTTGATTTTATATTTGGAAGCCGCCTAGAGTGGTCCGGTGGGCCAGATAGGCGGGGTATAAATTAAATAAATAAATAAATAAATAAATGTCAGAAGGAGGCACAAAATAAAAATTGCTAGGTCAGAAATTCATCTGGACGTTGAGTCACGGCAATTTAATGTCCAGATAATCTCACCGGGATGACTGAGAATCTTCACCAATATCATAAATTCATCTACCCCAGTTTCCTGCTTCCAGCAGCGATCAGCCACTGCCGATAGCTTGCAACTTGGAAAAGTTACTATCTTTGGGATTGAATCTCAGGGTGCCAGCTAGAGGGTTATAGAAGTGCACTTCCAGGTGAGGACATTTGTAGCTCAATGCTTCCCTTCACAACATGGTGCCCTTTAGGTATCTGGTACTACGAGGCCCATCATTTCCAGCTAGCATGGGAGCTGTAGTCCAAAGCTTCTGAAGGGTGCCAGATTCAAGGAGTATTTGCAGTTTGCTCTTGTGTAGAGAATCGTTCTAGCTTGAATGGATTTGGGTCATCAAATCCCAGGCTAGCAACATCCTTGTTTATTTAAGGTGTAGGATTCTTCCCTCTTCTCTGTCCATATTCCTAAAAACCAGCTGTCTGTTTTCTCCTCCGGATCCCAAGCCACAACAAGCAAACAAATTCCCCCAAGTTTACTGGTTTGCGTGTTTATTTTACAAAAAGTTATTTAAACTGGGAAACAATGTGTCCCAGCTACACATTGTTTCTTTTACAGTTGATCATTGCTGACTTGAATGCATAAGCTTTGTAAAGAAAGAAAGAAAGAAAGAAAGAAAGAAAGAAAGAAAGAAAGAAAGAAAGAAAGAAAGAAAGAAAGAAAGAAAGAAAGAAAGAAAAGAAGAAAAAGCTGCTATCCTTTTTAAAAGCTTGCCGGAGCCCCCACAGCTAATAAAACAAAGTCAAACAAAAAAAAAAGCACCATCTTCTGATAATACATTGAGTTTCCAAGAGTCGTTCTCAGAAACAAATTTCTGAATTTCCAAAACAATGACAGGCCACTCGGCGCCCTCCAAATATTTTGGGCCATAACAGTTCCCATCATCCATCACATCTGATTCTGCTCATTGGTGAGACACCGGTTGCATGTCGGGGGGGGTATGCTTGAGGAAATAGCACATGGCCAGGAACGCAACCAGCACCTTATAAACGAGTCGCCGTTTGCCAGTAAGGCTGACATGATTTCCATTACACATTGTGCAAATCGGCCGTAAGATGCTAGCCGGGGGATAGCAATACGTTCCTCGGCTAGCATCTTACAGCCGATACACACAGGTGTAAGGGAAATCATGTCAGACTTTCCAGAGGATGCTAATCCTTTAGGCAGTGAGTGAAAGAAGAGGAGAAAAGCCCTATATCAGACCCGGAGATTGGGGGGGGGGAAGAGAGAGGCTCCCAGCCAACCTTCCTGCCAAGTTCTTCTGCTTCGCGATTGAGCAACTGGAAATAATATCTCCCAGTGAGTCACACACTCATGCACGGTGCACGCGCATCACCCCCTCCCCTGGAACCGGCCAGCCACCAGCTCCGAGAGAAACATGGTGAACTCTTCACGTGAAAAAGAGGCCGGCATTGTGTCCTAACCCTGGACATGCAACCTCAAAGCCTGTTTCTCTACATTTTCCACAGTTTATAGTTCCCCCACGACTGCCTGGAGAGGATATTCTATATCATCCATAACATAACAGGCAGCTGTTTTGAGCAACGTAGGGGCTGGAGACACGGCTTTTTCCCTTATTTGGAGGGGAGCCGAATTTTATTTGCTCTGTTCTGAGATCCGTATGATTCATATCCCTGACTGTGCCTTTATACGTTGCTCATGGGCATGAAATGGGAGGGAGGGAGGCAGCACTTAACACTTTATAAGTGAGCCATTCTTAATCCTGTCTTCTTCTGATGGATTGTGCTACCGCTCCCTTCTCTCCAGCCGGTAGGAATTTTGGCTGTGACAGGTGGGGACGATGGGTATCCCAGTCCAATGGGCCTAGCAGGCACTGAATGGGGGGGAGGAAGTGACACAAAACCCCCTTCTCCACCCTCGGATCCCATAAACGAAACTTTCACCCAAACCCTCCATCATTACATGGGGACTTTCACCCTTCAATCCTGTGCACCAGTTCATCTTTTATTAATTTTTTTTAAGCTTCCAGGACTACCACCACTTAGTAAGTCCAGCTAGCTGCTACTTTCCCCGGGGCCTCTTTTTAATATTTTTATTCTGGCCCCATACTCTTTGCAGCACTAAAAAGGGGCTGGCTGGATGGATGGAGTCCTCTATTTCAGCTTCCCACAATGCCCTTGAAGGGGTGCTACACTGGAGCATTGTGGGTAATTAAAGGCAGAGGGAACCTCCCCCCCCCATTGCTTAGAGGGCTGGGATTGCAGCCACATAAGCTCCCTACGGTCCTCTGACAGATGATGGCTGCATGAGCAGACGGATCACTTTCAGATCAGGAGATTTTGCCCCAACCTCCTTCCGATCTGAAGCTGGCCCTGTTTGCTGGCTCGGTTTTCTGGGGCTGGGTTAGCACCTGCTCCTTGATGCTTTTAAGTGGCAATCCTGGGGATCCACACCCGGACCGTCTTCAGCCAAACCATGTGCGCCCCCACAAAGCAAGGAGGCCTGCAGGCTCCTAGGCTGGTCCTCAAATCATTTCCTAATGCTCAGGAAAAACAACTTTTTGAGTCTGAGTTGCCGCAATCTGGAGAACGTGAGGATCCTGGGATTTTTAGTCCGAAATGTCCCTTTTCCAAATTCTACTTTTTCCTTAAGCCTTCCCTTTGCCTCAGCTCTCTGCCACCGAAGGATGGCGTCTGAATGTTTTGGATTTCAACTCGCTCCATCCTTTACCGTTCACCAGGTTTGTGTAGGGCTTCCAAGAGCTCAAGTCCTAAAATCTATAGGTTCCGAACATCCCTTTCTCCTTAGAGTAGTAATCATAACCTCAGAGGTGCAAGGGACCCTTATAGACCATGGAGTCCAGCCCCGGTCAAGGTGGCAATGCGGGGAATCGAACCCCCAACCTCTGGCTCTATAGCTGGATACCTAAACCACGGAGCTATCCAATGTTCCCAGTCTAAGGTCAGAACAGTCCCAACAAACGGCTGCCAGATGCTTCCTGGGAAAAGGCGCCTCTGCATTCACGTGAAGTTTCCCGTCGGATTCTACCACGCTTCCCCGAAAATAAGACAGGGTCTTATATTCATTTTTGCTCCAAAAAAACAAAAAAATCTATAGCTGGATACCTAAACCACGGAGCTATCCAATGTTCCCAGTCTAAGGTCAGAACAGTCCCAACAAACGGCTGCCAGATGCTTCCTGGGAAAAGGCGCCTCTGCATTCACGTGAAGTTTCCCGTCGGATTCTACCACGCTTCCCCGAAAATAAGACAGGGTCTTATATTCATTTTTGCTCCAAAAAAATACAAAAAAAAAACCACATTTGGGTTTATTTTCAGGGGATGTTTTATTTTATAGTCATGTCATCTTCTGGTTCCTGCACAATGGTGGAGGTTTTACTTAACTGGGGCTTATTTTTGGGGTAGGGCTTATATTATGAGCATCCTGCAAAATCCTACTAGGGCTTATTTTCAGGTTAGGTCTTATTTTCGGGGAAACAGGGCAGTGCACGCATAGCAAAGACGGTTGGCCCTGTTCTCCAAGGAACCCATCTGCTCTTATCTTCCGGGGGCTCACCTCAGTTCGCTGGTGGTCATCCATTCTTCATCATCCACAGGCACCTGAATCTGGTTACTGTCGGCAACTTCCAGGACTGCACCGTCCCTCAGCCAGCTGATTTCAGGGGGCTCACCCACGGCGTGGACGGAGCAGGAGAGTTTCACGTCTTTACCCAATGAGGACGTCAGGTTAGAAGGGTTTTCTTGGAAGTACACAGCTGGAAAGAAAGAGAGAGTGCTATCAAGGGCCCCCAACGGTCTTCCAGACAAGAAAACTGCACCAAAAATATATATATACAGTACTGGGGAACCACACCCCTTCTTCCAAAACTACCAGGTTCTCAAATGCTGGCTTTATATTTGTTGACGTTGTGGCCGTTTACAGGCTAATGGACAAAATTAATCAACAGAGGTTGTCCTACTTTGGAACTATCCTGAGAAAACACGACTCGCTAGGAAAGGAAAGAATCTTAGGGCAAACAGAAAGAAGTAGGAGAAGAGGAAGGCCTAATACGAGATGCATTGACTCAGTCCAGGAAGCCACCACTTGGAGCTTGCAAGACCTGTGCAGCTCTGTGAAGGAGAGGACCCAGTGGGGGTCTTTAATTCACAGAGTCGCCCGCTGTGCCTCCCAAGTGGCTGGCTAGGAGATTCTGAGTTGTGTAGTCCACGCAAATAACGTTTTCAGGCTTTACCCAGATTTCAATGCGGGGGGGAATACACAATGTTTACTCAGAGGCTAACGTCTGCAGCAAAACAGGCAGCTGTTTAATGGCATGAGAGGGAGGGAAGGCTGGTTTAAAAGTTGGCAGCCTTTCAGCGATACGTCGGCTTGCCCCGATTTTCATATCTCCCGGAATGGACCTAACTGGGACGGCAGGAGAGAAGGATGACGTTCTCCTCTGGCTCGCCAGCCAGCCAGGCTGGTGATCATGATGATGACTCCACTCGCCTCTCCCTCCCTGGCTGCCAAGGATGTCGGGCAGCCGGGCCACCTCCGCCCTTTTAATGATGGTTCTTGTAAAACCCTGGCACGGGACGCCCCAAAGTTGCAGTCGGGGACCACAGTGAAGCACAGAAATCTTCCTCTCCCTCCCTCTGGCTTTTGAAGAATTTACAGCAGTGGTTCCTGAATTCTTTTACGCTGGAGACCCCCTTTTGCAATATCCACGTTGCAATTCACGTTTGCATAAGAAGGGCTTTTAAATAGGGTCAGATCATCCCTTCTCAGAAAGCAAAGGCTCTAAAGTGCCTGTTCCTCATACGTCACTTGCTAACTTTAATATCCCTCTCCAGAAGGTCAAGGGATAAAGGTTACAACATATAGAAGGCAACCCACAAACTCAGAACACACTTTGTGACCCCCTTGGGTCACATAAACTAGAAGGTCAAGGGATAAAGGTTACAACATAGAGAAGGCAATCCGCAAACCCAGAACACACCCCTTGGGTCACACACACCACAAATTGGGAAACATGTCTCCATGTCCTGTAAAATGCCCTGCTAGCTTTAGGACAACTCAAGAGAAAACCACTCCTGAAGCTCAAAACCGGCTTGCGTGACAGAAATCCAACAGATGAAGCTCATTTCCCCTTATGCTACTACTTTTCCAGTGCAAATAAGTACAGTAAACAGGACAGATGTCTGTATCATGAGCACTTTTATCTGTCCACGTGGTATTTTCAAATATTTCTTAGATCTATTTTTTTAAAAAAAATCCCCCAGATGTGTTACTCACATAGACTGAATGATCCCTCGGGGCGGAGGTACCAAACAGTGTGGGTATAACAGGACAAAAATCCAAACGAATGCCAGAGAAAAACGGAAATGCCTCTCGCCAGGCAGGACTAATGAGTTAAAAGTTTATACGGACAAGCAGCGGCTCTCAAACCTGTTTTGTCCACACAAAATAGGTGGGACTGTTTCAGATCCTGGACTATTGTTCCCAGAATCCCTACCCACCATACTGGGAGTTGTAGTCCTAACATTTCCATGCTCTGGGCTCTTTTAAGTGGGAAAGAGGGCAAGGGGGAATGCTCCACTCCTGATCTACCCATCACTTTGCTCCTGTAATTTACCTCTGTTCCTTTTGCAAACTTGCATGCTGCCTTTATCAGACTGTCCATCTGTCCAGCACTAAACAATTGTTCCTTCCCTACCTCTGAATTCAAAGAGTGCTCTGCCTCTCTGCTTTGCTTTCCTCCCCTTCTCTGTTGTCTGCTGACAGTTAGGTAGTCTACTGAAGTCTGTTGTTGAAAGCAGTCATGTTTGTCAGATGGCTGTTTAATTTGTTCAACTGTAAGTAATGGAACCTCTTATTCTTTCTCCCACTAATGTCTCAGACTGAGTTACTGAAACTAAATGCCAGTTTAATGATTATCTGGAAGACTGGTGGAGGTTGTAGCTGTTTTAACAAGTGAAGTTGGGGGGGCGCAGAAAAAGGATTAATCATCCTTCTTGCCGGATTACCCTTCCTAAGCTTCCTTACCCCTACAGTACCTTCTTCTCCCCACCTACATCCTAAAATCTAGATGTATTTTGTGAGGGAAACTTAGGTAATGAACCTTAGTGTTGTAGAAACAGGGAATGGTTTAGAACAGAGGTTCCCAACCTTGGGTCCCCAGATATTCTTGGACTAAAACTCCCAGAAGCCTTCACTCTTAGCTGTGCTGGCCAGGATTTCTGGGCGTTGTAGTCCAAAAACAACTGGGGACCCAAGATTGGGAACCATGTGTTTAGAAGAACGCGTGAGAGAAGAGGTAAAAAACATCTGGGGAGCCAAGATTGGGAACCATAGGTTTAGAAGAACGCGTGGGAGAAGAGGTAAGCCTCTCCTCACCCCCGCTCTTCTTACACTGCCAAAACATGGGCCTGAAACTGCATTTGACGCAAGGCGTATAGGTTGGGCTTCCTCCAAAGTCAGATGAACAATAATAACAATAAGCCATATGGGCCTCGCACAAAAATTCACAAACAAGGGTGCTTCCCAGACTTCTTTCCAGATTCTGAAATTGGGCTCGGCGTTTGTGGCTGACCGAGGGCTTGAATTGGGGTCCCTTTGGCCAAAATCCAAGCCCATCGGTGACCTGGCCTCTCAGATGTTTTGGGTGGAAGGAGCTTCCTTAGACTCAATCAGCACCCATGAGAAAGAAGAGTAATGAGAGTTAACCATCCCACTATGTCTGGGAGGCTTCTAGTTGCCCACCCCCTGCTCTGGCCCTGGGGGGTGGCATGACTTATGACCAGCTGGTTCTGAGATGACCATAACCTATATTTCTTATTCTGTCACTCTTTCCAACAGACTGACTCATTCGGAAAAAGGTCACAGCACTGATGTCTTCACTCTCGTTCGCCTCGAAAAAAGGAGAAGTTACACAATCCTCATTCGGAGGCAGATAGTGGAACATGGGACATGTAGGTCAATGGCTAAGATATCTATGCATCTCTCTCTCTGTGTGTCCCTATAAAAGCAAAGGAAGGGTTTGGTGACTAAATCAATCTGAGAATATCCTGCCCTGTTGCTCTTGTTAACCCTCGAGGAATGAAGGACACATTCCAGGGCCCTGGGAAGCCACCCAAACTTCATTCTTGGGCCTCTCTGCTCTTTCATCTGGTTAGGATTGGTGGGGAGGGGGCACCATGTATTATTTCATGGCAACGGATGAGAAATTCATATGAGCTGATTTTTTTCTTTTTTAAAAAAGGAAATTATCAAATTCATGCTCGGTGAGTAGCTTCAAATCAGCTGCTTCAAACAAGTAACTTCAAACCATCTGCATCAAATCCTCCCCCAGCCTGTGCCTTTTTGCAAAGTAATGTATACGCAAATCAACATGTACTACTCAAAAAAAAATTCGTTCTCTGGGCAAGGGAATGTACACCATCCTCTTTTGTCTATGAGGGAAATGGGCAGGAAACATCACACTAAGAAAAAAATGCATTTCACAGCGTGCACATTGGGGAACACAACGCAAAAGCCGCGTGGATTTCCCTGGAGGAAGACCCACAGAATTTCGCAACCGAAGACGACAATCCAATGCAGGGTTCAGAGAAAATGTAAGGAAATTGGGACGGAGGGAAACTGAGACCACAGCAAAACAACAGACACAGAATTCTCCTCCCAGCCTGGATGGAGGAATGATCTCACGCCTCTCTCTTCACACCGGAGTTTCCAACTGAGAAGGGGAACGTTTGTCTTTTTGGACAACGACTTCCAGCCTCCTCTAGCCACCACAGCCGTGGCCTCTGTGGGGTGTGGGATTTGGGGAGCGGTACCCAAGCCCTCCCCCATAACAACCCCCCCTTTTCCTTCCCAGATTTCCAAAGTTATCTGGAGGTCTCTCCGATCAGATGTCTGTCTTTTACGTTTACATGTCAAGTCTAACCTTGAGGCATAACCGTGTTTCGCCTCCACTGAGCAGGGAGTGGAGGGCTGGTGCAGCTCTATTGGGGGGGGTTGGACTAGATGACCCTTGGAGTCCCTTTCCACCCGATGATCTCACCGACCAAATGGTGTGAAGAAGCCTGCTGCTCCCAGCCCCCCCCCTGGAGAAAAACATTTGGCACCAAGCATCACAGGGTGGAGATGATGTTCCTCCCTCCTCAACTGGCTATCACAATCTACTAATTCACTAGGGATGCTCAGAAGTGTTTTGTGTGTGTGTCTCCTTCCAGATGGGGCAACAGCTTGCCTCCCCCCCCCCCCCCAACATCACTACCTCATCCCCACATCCCCACCAAACACACCCACTCCAAGACCGAAGATCACAGCCGCTCCTTGCTTGGTGGAAACAGCATCACAGCAAAGCAACAACAGCTGCCCTAAATTTGCATCCGCTGGCCCTTATCACAGAAAAAGCTGTTGCCATTTTTCCCCTTCTGGAAATCCCTGCCCCTGGGCCTTCGCCAGCGGCGCGCAATCCTCGGTGTTTAAAGCCAGCCAGTTCCAGCTTTTTTTTTGTTTTGGCATTTATAATCATCCTCTTGGAAGTGCCGAGCCAGAAGGGACCCTCTGGAATGATCATCCAGCCCAGCCCCCTGTCAAAGGAGGGACCCCCGTGAGGAATTGAACACTCAACCAAACCAATGAGCTCTCCAGCATTTCAATCATCATCTTCGAACGACGGAGCTGGCAGGGATGCTATAGATCAAGTCCAGGAGGCCGGGTGGGGAATCGAACCCCCGACCTCTGGGTCTGAAGCCAGAGGTCTAAACTATTTTTCGGTGATCGGTACAGATCTCGGAGAATCCCGTGGGGCAGGAACGTGGCCAGTTTCCCACTTCTGTTTTGGGAGAAAAGGGGCAATCAATTAGCAAATAAAAGCAACCCTTTTCCTGGGACCTAATTTCAGGGTGCTGTTTATATATAATCCCTAACCCTGAGGAAGGTTGACTGGGGTCAGTGAGGTTCCCTAGCCTTTTCTCAGGGCTCAACTCCTACAGCACAAGAAGCCACCGTCAAGACCGCTGTCTCTCTGAGCATGGGCAAAGGGCTCCTCAGTTCTCTAGGCATAAACCACATTCGACCCCTACATATCTATCTGGGACTCAGAGGGCCCTCTTCTCCTCCACTCACACAACTCCTGTGGCTTTAAGGAGGGAGCGGTTTCTCACACATTTTGGGACACGTTCTCCCTGTCCAGTTGCAAGCATCCATTTGGCCAGTCCTCGGTGGTGCCCAACCGAGGCCACCCTGATACTGTACTCTGGGAAGGTGACCGGCAGAGCCTCGAAGCTCACGGCTCTCCCAGGCTTGCGATACGATGGGTTATATTCACCAGACACGGGTGGCAGCTTTTAATAAGCAAAATCCCTTGGAGGGCAGGCAGAATAAAAATAAATAAATAAATATCTGGTGACAGCGAGAGCTGTATTTCTCCTCAGTTTGCCGCTCTTAAAGCCACACTAAATAACAAGTGGCAACGCACCTTGATCTTCCGTCTTACTCTCCAAAGCCACTTTATTTACTTATTTTTTTAATGTTCTATCCTGTTTCACAAATTGCACTCCAAGATCCCAACCTGCATTATCCACAGCTTCAGTTTCAGAGTCTCTCTTCCTCCCCCCCCCAACCCCCAGGACAGCTGTGGTGGTCTGAAAATGTACATTTTCCAAGCTTTGCCACTAGAACCGAGGCAAGCTTCTCTCTGCGTTCCCCCCCACACGACGCTTCTTTGCTTACACCAGAGACCTCAGATTCCTCTACAAACCCAGCATTCCACTTAAAGATTGTGCGAAGGTGAGGGGGTGTGGGAAACGCTGATGACCCTGTAATAACAACCTCTCTGGCTCGCTCCTTGGAAAAAGTACTTCACCCACCCAACCCACATCCCCAAAATGCAATAAAATAATAAAAAAAATTAAAATTGCATTCCATTTCCAGTACATTTTAGGGCTTCTTTCATTTTTATTCCTGGAACACTCAGCAATCCCTGATGGCCTGATGCAGAGCGATCCTTTGTCCCTCTCAAAACTGGTTTTTAAGTGGAGGGCTAATGATCTGTTATGCAGCTGGGGGGCCCTGAGTGCCATTTGGTTAAAGCCAAACTTTTTTCCCCTTAGGGGTGCTACTTCTTCAAAGGGATGTAAAACAGCCTCCAACCATTTATGGGCCCCTCTGTCCTGCCTGTCACGTAGACGGTGACACAGTTTTAAACTGAGCACTCCCTTTACCAGGAAGGAAGACACCGACCCGGCCATGGACCAATATGGAAGCTAGCAGCCAATCCACGTTTTGCACCTGTTTCGACAGATGCACCTGTACCTAAGAGGGCTGTTTTAGGAAGAAGAGGCCTTTTGTTTAACAGGTTTCCCAAATCCAAGCCCAGTTTAAAGATACAGAACCCGAAAGAGAGAGAGAGATCCACAGCTAACAGCTGGAGAACAAAGCTCGTTTGTGGCCATCTCGTTTAGGTGCACTGCTGTGCTTTTTCGATGACAAGATTTCTAATTTTGCATTTGCACATAAACATTCATCTATGCAGCTTTCTGGAAAACGGTTCCCTCCTTTCATTGTGCCTCTTAGCTCAGGTCTAGAGTCCCCCCCCCCACCCTTCGGTCCCCAGATGTTCGTGGACTACAACTCCCAGAAGCCTTCGCCACCAGTTGTGCTGGCCAGGGTTTCTGGGAGTTGTAGTCCAAAAAAAAACCCACCTGGGGGACCCAAAGTGGAGAACTTCTGGCCCAGAGGAAAAGTTATGCCTTTTACCCTTCTGGGATGGCCTTCAACCCATATCATTTTTATCTAATCAAATGGTGACATGCTGAGATGTACCGTCTCATGTACAGACTGGCTGTTTTTGCAGACAGGAAGAAATATGCTTGGGAATTTTTGTGAATTCCACGGGTGCTTTTTGTCGTTGTTGTTGTTCAGAGGTTGGACGGGGTTGGTCTTTCATCATCTTCCTTGCCATGACTTGAGTGGGATCCATGCTAGCATCTCATCATAACACGGAATCAAACAACTTTAAAGTGACTCAACTCGTCTTGCTAATTCTTCCGACGAAATGCAAGGCAGAGCCTCCTGGCCGCCCTGATGTTTAGCAAAACTTTCAAAACAACCTGTTTCGCCGACACCCCACAAGGCGACAGGTTCGTCTTAAGATCAACCTGTCACACAATCCGGGCAGCTAAAGAATAGCTAAGGGCTGGGCTTCACTATTCCTGTTTCGTGAGCAGAGAGAGGATCCTAATTTCTGCTGGTGTTTACCAACATCCCACGGGAAGGTGGTAGCTCTTCCATATTTCATTCAGCACAGAGAAATGAAAAACTGCAAGCCGTGTTCTCCTATAGAGATATGTTGTTTTTTTAAAGAAGGTCAACCACCTTGAGTCCCTTACAGAAGATGAAGCCATTAAAAAAAATAATAACAATATTCTTGGCATCTGTGCCAAGCTTCTGCGTTTCACCCTCTGGAATTCAACTTTTGGTATGGACGGACAGCAGGTCCCAATGCCACGCTCTTTTTTTTTTTTTGGTTCAGATTTATTTAGGAGTATAAGAATTCTTCCTATTATTTTTTATCTATTTTAGTTATCTGTTATATTTAGATGCCATCTTTCCTCCGGTGAGCTCAAAAGTGGAATTCATCACCTTCTTGGCCTCGGCTTTCATCACACAATCGCCTTGCGAGGAACAGCAATCGCCTTGTGAGGAACAGCAGGCTGACAGGGAGTGTCTGGCCTGAAACCCAATGTTGAATTTTTATGGCTCAATGAGGACTTGGAACCTGGATCTCCCAATCCCCAACCACTCTACTGCACTGTCTTGCCAACATGAATTAGAATCATAGTTTCAACAATGACGGGAGAAAGCCACCTCTTTTAAAACAGCACTTCTGAGTCCTCAGCTCCAAAATCAAGATGATCCTGAAATCTTTAAAATCTTCCTTGCAGCTGGGTTTGCTAAGTTTAGAGCGTGGACTACGACTCCCAGAATCCCCAACAGACACATGACTTTGGAGATTACGGTCCTTTGGGTTAATTTGATCTCCTAACACCTTTAATTTTCCTCTTCTGGACCTTCTTCTAGCTCAATTCAAATGTGAATTGCAAACTTCTTGTGGCCGAGAACTTTGCTGTTTTGTTTCAGAAAAACAGAGGAGATTCTTAGACACCTGTGGCATGGCCTAAATAATGGGAGAGGAGTCTAGGGGTGACCCAGGGCTACGGAGCCACCCAGTTAGAAGCAAAGAGCCACACAGAAAGTTCTTTCTCCACTTACAAAGACCACCGTTTGCAACTCCCAGCTCAGAAAGAGTCTGGTTTCCCCTCTGAGACCCAGAGGTGACAAGAGATGAGGGGCACATCTGGAGGGAGGATGGTCCTGAAAGACTCTCCCCCCCTCCCCATGCCCCACTTTGGAGAACTGAATCATCGGGCCCGACCCTGCAGTCACCCCAAGCTTGGAGACAGCCTGTTGAGAAATCCCCTCTCTCTCTCTCTCTCTTTTTTGAGAAGCAGTGCGGTGCAGTGGTTAGGGCATCTCCCACCACTGAACGGTGGTGCCCTCTTGGCCAACCCCACAAGGTTGCTGTGAGGACTTAGATGGGAATCCTCTCCGGAGCTCCCTGGAAGATACCTCAACCTTATGCTCATCCACCCATCCTCCTGCCGCCTCTCACTATTCAAAAGGGGGACCAAATTTTGTCCTCAGAATAAATCCTAAAATGTCAGCTTGGATGAGAAGAGTCTCAGGACTCCATCCTGGCTCCAAAGGTTCAAGAGAAAAGGGGCACGCGTGAAACCCCCTTTTATTCTTGCAGTAACCCCAAAAGGCAGGAAAAAGAGCTTGCTGGTCGTTTTCGACATCTGACCCAACTCCGGGAGGCAGAGGAAGACAGGAGGGCCTGGCTTGCTCTGGTCCATGGGTGTCACAAAGAGTCAGACACAACTAAACAACCACACAAGCTTTCCACAAGGCCAGTTCTAGCGTGGCATCTATTTGATGCTTTTTAACATTTGCAGACTTTTTTTGAGCTTTTAAATATATCGTTTTTTTAAAATGTTGCAAGCCACCTGGAGCTCTTTTTTCAGGAGAAAGGCGGGGCACAAATATTTTAAATGATTAAACAAACGTGATGAACATCCCGGCCAACGAGGGATTTGACGTTCGCTTACTCTTAACAACAACCCCGCAAAGTAGGTTTAAGGCTGAATGCGGGAGGCTTCTCCCTCCCTGCCTGTGGCCGCCAATGCATCATTTGAACCCAGGTCGTCCCCCACTGATTGCAAACATCCTCCAGCATCTCTCCCCGGCTCTTACTACCCTGTTATCCCGACTGGGAACCATGACTTTTGTCTGGACCACAACACCCAGCATCCGCCGCCGGGCGCTCGCGGTGTCCCGAGCGGCTTTCTCTTTCCCCCTCGGCCCGCAGCCCGTTCCCTCCCGCGTCCACACGAGCATCCGCGACACGCGTGCCCAAGCCACTCACCTTCCTGGGCGCCTCCGACGCCCACCCACCAGGCCAGCAGGCAGGAGAGGAGCCCCCGGGCGCGCCGACCCATCTCCGGCCAGGACTCCGATGCGCTCCCGGGGCAGAGAGAGAGAGAGGACTCGCGGCGCTAGTGGCTCATAGGATCGGGGGCTCCGAGGGGCGCAAAAGCCAGGAGGGCCCCGATCCCTCTCGGTCCCAGCTCGCCCCGATTAGCGGAGGAGGAAAGTCCTCGGCCGGAGCCCGTCTCCGAAAAACAAGTGACGAAACCAGCGGTGAAGTCAGCCCCCCCAAGAGATGGAGGGAAGGAGGGTTGGTCGCAAGTTTGGAAACTAAGCAAACTCCAGGAAAATAAACGTCCAGGGGATAGGAATTACGCGCGTGCCCCCCTTTCTTTCTCAACTGGCCCAAAACTCCTTGTGGAAATTCGGAATAATATCCGGCTCGACTCCGGAGCGCAGGAGAACCGAAGCGCGCGCCAAGAGAACTTTGCTTTTCTGCGAATTTTCCCACTCGCTGGTTGCTCGCTGCCAGCGCTGATTTCCGTCCCGGCTTTTCCAGGCTTGGGGATTTTAAAGTCCTTGAAAGCTTGCACCTGATTTTTTCCCCCTTCCTCTCGCTCCGGATTGGGCCGGCGCTTGCGCCTCGTCCTGGAGGAGCTGGAGTCAGATCCGAAGCTCCCTCGGTCGCTACCGATGTCTGGCTGCTTTCTTTCTCTCGATCTACCTCGATCCGAAGGAACTTGTCCGCTCAAGTTCTCCGGCCGCGCCTCCCGGTTGCCTAAATGCTTACTTCTCCAAAAGAAGGAGAAGAAGAGGGGGAGCCAGAGAGAGCGGGGGGGGGGAAGAAAGAAGAGAATTATATATATATTTATATACTAGGGGGAAAGTTTCTTCCTTTTCTCTGTGTCCCTGACTCATCCACTCCTACACACGGCCGAAGAATTGTTTAGTACAAGAGAGAGAGGGAGGGAGAGATAAGTTGAAAGTGGGACAGGAGAGGGGGGGGGCAGAGAGAGGGAGAGACCAGGGGGAAGCAGGGCAGGGTGTGAAAAATTCCTTCCAGCCCTCCAAGGGTTAATGGGAGGAGAAGAAAAAAAGAACAGAGAAGGGGGGGAGAGAAAGAAAGAGACTTTTCTTAAAGTTATAGGCACCCGTTCCCCCCCTCCTTCGTCCCCCCAAAAGAGAAAAGGACAGGCTTAAAGTTATAGGCACCCGTTCCCCCCCTTGTCCCCCCAAAAGAGCAAAGGACAGGGATGGGGGGGTCAAAGATGCTGGTGGGATGACCCGGGAAGGCAGCAGGCGGGGATAACGCAAATGAGCATCACTCTGCTGCATCAGTTTTCCCAGATTTCCTGAGAGTGCATCCCAGAGAAAGGGGGCCGCGGCTGTTTGTCTGTTAAAACAGAAGATGCTGATGGGAGACATCTTTGGTACGGTATTAAAGGATAAGGGATGGGGGACAGGGGTGGCTGGTTTGCAGCTGGACTCCGGGGCCCAGCATCCTCTGGAAGGCGGCAGGTCCAACAAGGAGAAGGTATGGCTCAAGACAGCTGGAAGTGACCAGGTTTGGGAGGGTGGGTGTGAACGTCAAAACACAGGGTCCATCCGTTTGAAACAGAAGGCATCTTTCTGCCTCGCCCGCTTGGAAAACTCACCTTTCAAAACCCGCTCTAAAATCTCATCAGTCTGCTGTCCAAGGAATGTGTTTGTCGCTTCTCTGTGTGAGTCCCTGTGATGATTGCGGTCTCCCCCCATCCATCGTGCGCTGCACCGAGGAACGGTGTGCTTGTTCCTTTCCGGTCCAGCGAGCGAGCCGAATTTCCAAGAAAGGAAGGAAGGAAGGCCAGCTGGACGCAAGGAAGATGCAAGAGAAGAAAAAGCTGGAGGGTGGACCTCATTCATCAGAACGTTGATGTTTTGATTTATTTCTGGTGGCACATTCTGAGTTCTCTTGTTCCATTTGGGGTGCCAGTCGTGGTGATGGATTTTCCAGCCTTTCACCTGGGCTTCACGCTCTCACTTGGGATTCTTCCCATTCCCCCCTTTCCCCCCTTTCCCCCCTCCCTTTTCGCTTTCTTTTCCTTTTATAAGAAGGGAACTTGTGGGTGGTGCTAAGTTTGCCACAAAACCCTTTAGTGTGAAGCATCACAAATCCTAATGGCCCCAACTACAGTGGTGCCTCCCTAGACAGTTACCCCACATTACAGTTTTTTCGCTAGACATTGACTTTTTGCGATCGCTATAGTGATTCGCAAAACAGTGATTCCTATGGGGGAATTTCGCTGGACAATATTCGGTCCCTGCTTCGCAAAACGATTTTTGCTAGACGACGAGTTTGACTCTCCGTGCTCGCAAAACGGGTGTTTTCGGGACCTAAGCTTCGCAAGGCAGCGATTTAAACAGCTGATTGGCGGTTCGCAAAGCGGCTTTCCTATGGCCGATCTTCGCTAAACAACGACGATGTATAGTGATGAGAAGGAGTTGGCCAGGGAAGAAGGCTTATTTTCATGACACCTACAAAGTCTTTAAGTGATTTGATGACCATGGCTTCACCCAAAGGATGCTGGGGCAGTGTGGTCCAACAAAGAGGCAAGGGATCCCCTAATCCAGAATCCGCCAGCAGATCCTGATCTACTTCCTGCCAGCTCTGGTCTCTGTTAGACACCTGCCATCTTCCACAAGAGGAAGTCAAACTCAGAGTAATGCTTTCCTACCAGGTGGCATTCAGGTGTTTTTTCCCCCTGTGGTATTTGGTTAATAAATAATAAAAAGTAAGGAACTATAAAATGCCCCATTGTTTGTGTCTTGGTGTGTGTGTGTGTAATCCAGGATGCGTGCTTGTCCGATTTCAGAGTTAACCATTACCAACTACAAAGACACAGCGGAGCCACGGATCTGATAAAAGGCAAGGATCCGACCCCGAGGTAAAGAAAATCGGGAGGTAAAGAAAATGGGTAAATTGGAGGTAAAGAAAATCAGGAAAACCTCTACTGTTTTGTCTTTGAATGAGGGTGGAGAGGGAGAATTATCTAGAGCAGTGGTTCTTAACCTTTGTTACTCAGGTGTTTTTGAACTGCAACTCCCAGAAACCCCAGCCAGCACAGCTGATGGTGAAGGCTTCTGGGAGTTGCAGTCCAAAAACATCTGAGTAACAAAGGTTAAGAACCAGTGGTCTAGAGCGTGGAAATTTACTTTTAAAAACATCTGAGTAACAGGTTAAGAACCAGCGGTCTAGAGCGTGGAAATTTACTTTTGAAAAACCCAATGGAATTCATCACAGTTCTGGGGACTGTAATGTAGTTAGTTGTTGTAATCTTTGCTGGAATTCTCAGAAAAGCAACCGAAGAGTCTTTTTGCACTTCAAATACTAGCAAGATTGAGTTGGAAATAAGTTGTCGTGGTCTGCATCCACTTTGCCAGGTGTCGTGGCCCTTACACCAAAGAAAGATTGCCAGTCCTCAGGGTGTCACAGGACTCTTTGATTTATTTCCTCTGCAACAGAAAATATTTTAGAAAGTGATCCTTTCCTTTTAATGTCATCAAAACAAAATGTGTTGCTTTTTCAACAGACATACTGTTGAAAAAGCTTATAATTGTTACAAAACACTTCTAAGTGGTTTCAAAGGCCATAAGTCATTTCTGATTGAGGGCGGGGGAAAATGTTACAGTCACACTTGAACAGCAGCAAATAGTGCTCAGTATTTTACAATCATAAGGAATTTTTAACGCAAAGACAAGCTGATTGTAAGTTGTGTCCGGTGCGGTGTTGTGGAGAGAGTGATGGATGAGGTTTCAGGAGACCTGGGTTGGAATCTCTGCTCAGCCACGGAACCGCACAGGGTGGGACCAAAACTGGGAAAATAATAATCATGCGCCATTAAGTCAATTCTGATTTAGGGCAAGCCTTTCCAAGGTTTACTACAAAATGTGTTGCTTTTTCAACAGACATAAAAGTGTGCTGCTTATATATTGCCCTACAGCGCTTCAAACACACTCTGAACAGTTTACAATTATACAAGCTACACACTCCCCACCCCAGTGAGCTGGGAACCCAATTTACCAACCTTGGAAGGACCGAAGCCTGAATCAACCTTGAGCAGTCTACTGATCCCGTGGGGATCAAACTCAAGCCCTGAGCAGAGTTTTGACTGCAGTACTGCAGTTCAACCACTGTGTCACAAGACTCCTTAAGGAATAGAGGGTACGCCCCACAGGCTGGCTCTACTCGTAGGAGACCCACTGGGGAATCAAACTCCCAACCCGGTACTGCAGTTCAACCACTGTGCCACAAGACTCCTTAAGGAATAGAGGGTACACCCCACAGGCTGGCTCTACTCGTACGAGACCCACTGGGGAATCAAACTCCCAACCCGTACCTAACTGACTGAGCTATCCAGCCAGCTTGAAACCACTCCTTAAATATCTCACTTACCTTGAAAGCCTTATTTAGGGCCTCTCTAAGTTGATTTCTTCCTAGATAGTACATAACAATTATCTCTGTCTAGCCATTTCCACGCTCTTTACTGGCATGGTGACAAAGTGCTTAGAAGGGCTTTATCAATTTCACCTTTTGTTGGTCAGCAGGCCTCGAAACAGTTATCTTTTTCGACTACAATTCCTGGAAACCCCCTTGGCCATTTTTTAAAAAAACCCCAAGAGGCACAGAAATGACTGGAACAGATCAGATGCAACGTATACAGTGGTCCATAACCCACCTTGCTCGGTGAATCATCATCCAAAAACAGTACATAAAAATAGCATTCCAACCACATGGGACCAGGGGTGAAGCATGAAATCAAACTCCCCAAAGCTTATTGGGAAACTCACTTTGATCCCCGGCAAACTTTTTCCCATTAATTTTTGGAACGTTCATTTATAATTTTTCTACACTGCCTGAAGATGGGATTTTTTTAATCCACGAAAGCTTGCATTCATTGTTTGATTTTTTAAAAGTGGTTTAATAAAGGTACTGCCTTCTTCTCCATGTGCATTTCCAATCCTGGCGGTGAGTTTACCCCTTTCTAAACAGAGGCCAATCTCTCTCCCTTTCCTGGCGGTACCCAAGATTCTCTGGTATTCCCCTCTCCTCCTGGTTCCTGCCTCAATTGAGGAACTTGTCTCGGCTTTTGGCATCGCTCTGCAGGCCTGGGATATGAAGGGAGGTGAGCTGGGTTACGAAAACATCAGCTCGGAGTGAAAACACTGACATTTTGCAGACCGGAATCTGGAGTCGGGTTTCTTTCTCAAAGGGAGCAGTCTGGCAGCTGTTGATGGATCCTTTAGAGAGAAAGGCCCCGGGGCTGATAACAGCAAAACTGGATTCGTCCAGAACACCTGAAACAGCCGCCCATCATCTCCCCCTAGTCCTACTTTTCTCTATCATTTTAGAGTCCATCTACATCTCCAGAAGCTGCTCTGTGCAGTTTGGAAGTGAAGTAAACATTAACTCCACTTTCGAATGAAGGAGGGAGGATTTGTTGGTATGTCAATGCACTTTGATGCTGTTCAACTGTCTCTACTGCACTTGGCCACAAAGCCACAGGACCGTCAGAACCTCTGGTGAAAAGGGATCCTTTACAATAGGTACCCAGTATAATTTTAAGACAAAAAATGTTATAGTGCAAGAATGTGTGCATTTAAATCTGCCTTTTAATTCTTTGCACCAAGAGAGAGACAGAGAGAATGTGGTGTCACTAGTGATGTGATCTCCACCTGTTTCAGGTGAGTGCATCATGCACCACTTGAATGTGATCTCCACCTGTTTCAGGTGAGTGCAAGATGCACCACTTGAAGGCTAAAGATGGGCTTCAGAGAAAGAGTAACCCTTTGCTTTCAACTTTGGCAAACCTGCAGAGAAAT